CAGACTTCAAAGCTCCAAATCACTTGAATTCATTCCATAACATCTATATAGCTCGGAATCACTCCTACAAGGCATAAAACACACACTTAGTGCAAAGTACTAGCGATTAAAGCGCAAACTCAACTAAAGTGCAATAAATTAGAGTATAATAATCGACTAAAATAAGTAATTATAGCGTATCATCAATACCCCATAAGCATGATACCTATTACTGATTCCAAAAAATGGCAAAGCAGTGAGAGTTTTAAACGAGTAATTTGGATCCTATAGGCATGCTTTCTAAACCGCATTAATGAAAGGAGTGAGTTGTTTAAACTAATTCAACAAAGTACGAGTCAAACTGATTTTAACTAAACTGGTTTCAGATCCTATGGGCATGGTATCTAATTGAGCAGGCAGGATTTATTTGATCATAGCGAAATTCCTGTAGGCATGACTTCTATAAAAAATACTGATTTTAATCCTGTAGACACGACATCTAGTTTAGAAACTGATTTTAACTTGTGGGCATGATGTCTGATTATAGCCATTAGACCCCATAGGCATGATTTCTAAGTGTGGAAGTAAACATGCAGAACTTTACTAATCAGATCCTAAAGGCAGGATATCTACCCTTAAAACATGCACAATTACCCCATCCCTTTTCACTAACCAACCCCAATATTCGTTACAACTTATTACAGACCAAAATACTGAATTACAGAAGAAGTGTAAAATAAGAAGTTACAACCATAGGAAGCCTGATTCTGACTTCCTCTCTGAGTTATGGAACAAACCACCTCAAATGCCACTTGTTTCAAAGACTTTCTCAGACCTGGGTGTGTCAAAGTTCCCTAAGGGTCTCAAGGGACCCCGGGCAGTGCTTACCCAGGTTTGCATAACCAGATAGAGATGAGTGCAGTGTGGAAGGGCCAGCCCTTATGTGTCCAAGTTCAGAGGGAGCTCATGGGTCCTAAGGCAAGGCTCACACAAGAGGGGCAGAACCTAAGTTCTAAGAGTATAGTGGAAGTGCAGAAACAGAGATTTTATTTAAAACTGGGTTGAGAATAGTAAGGGGTAAGGGTGATCTGAAAACAGTAGTAGTAAAACATAAATTACACAGAATCAGTAATTGCACAAAAAGGGTCAGGTTAGGGACATGTACAGCAATAGATGATGCTGGCATGCCCACAAACCAGCCAGAGAACACAAGCACATAGGAGGATATGGGGTTTGGGATTCATAAGTCAGCAAGTCACATAATGAAGTGACTGACATAGTGCATACATAAGGGAACACATTTATTTGGAAAGGGGAGGGAGCAGATTACAGCATGCTTAGTAATGAAACTTGATTGCATACACATAAGCAGAAACAACCAAGAGTGAAGGAAACAGTTAAAGAAACATGTTGTTGTTGATGCTTGAAGATTAACTAGGACATACCAGTAAGAGGCAAAGTGCAGAAAGAAAAGTAAGCAAATTTCCACAGCCTAGCCTTGGCTTTCAGCCGGCTAGACAAGGCAGTAACACAAGTAGTAACAGAGAAAAGAGAGATAGTTTTGAGTGAAGTGTGTGTTCTGAAATCAGATGGTTCATCCGTGTCTTTGAAAGAAGAGGGTTGCAGGGTATTTATAGTTTTTTTGAAAACGAGTGAAGGAGAGGTAATAAGTAAAGTCTTGATACAAACATGGAAACAATCACAAGTCAGAATCAATTACCCAAGTGATTCCCCTTTAATTAAGAATCACTATCTAATGGGTAGCAGCAAGTCTAATTAAGGAAAGAAAATCAGTTTGGAAGCAGACTGATTATTGCCGTATAAGGGATAGTTAAAGCATGCAGTGAACAATCGAGTCTAAGTACAAAAATATGCTTATTTTGGGAAAGAAATCAGCAAGGTAAAACATCACAGTAAAGGAAAAAGAATCAATTAATTTTAAACAGGCGAGTGAAATTAAGGTTCATAAAAGCAAAGTTTTTGAAATCAGTCACAAGATTAAGATCAATCAAGGAAGAATATGCTTCTGCACTTCAGTACATAAACAGAGTGAACAGAAACATCAGACATGCGAGGCCAAGCACATTGGCAAAAGAAACAGCATACAATAGTAGCAGAAATAAGCATAGGATTCAGTAGTGAACAAAGTTAGATAGTCAGGGCTCACACGTATAGCCAAAGTGAAGAAGATAGTCAAAACAAGTAAAGGTCTCACAGTAACAGGTGAGGAAACCCTTTTGAGAAATTAGGGTTTCAGCCATAGTCTAGTTGAAAGATAGTAATAATCAGATAAGTCACAGAAAGAAAAGAGAGTATGAAACAAGAACTTTCAATCGAGTCAAGTATGCATTCAAACAAACAATTTCAGACCCAAAGGCCTAGGTTTTTCAACAATAATCGAGTTTAAAAGATGGTAAAAAAAATAAGTCAAACAAGAACTTAATCAAACCAGTACACATCTAATCAAACAGCTTCAGAACTCGAATGAGACCCACAAAGGAATTATGGTTTTCAACATCCTGACTCAGATAGAAGAACAACATGAGCTAAACATAACAGAATCACAAACAACATTAAAAATTGGAGAAGAGATCTTTTGAAAAACTTAAAGGAAAACCTTAACCAAAAGTTGTTTTGAAAGAAAAGTTGAATAACTTTCGAGAAAAACACTTGACATTCACAGCAAGTACAGATCTAAAGTAGATCTGAAAGAAAATCCAAGGATCTTAAAGATTAGGGTTTCGAAAAATCCAAAAAAGGTGAGAAAGGCCTTGAAAGTTACCGATCTAACCAGGAGAGTCAAGGATCTGACTCGAACGGCCATGGCTGGCCGGAGAAAGGTCAGGGATGACCGGAGAAAAGCCATGAACCGCAATCGAACAAGGACTGGACCAGATTCCTTCGGGGATTGGCCGTGAGACCACAGAAACAAACACCCAAGAGTCATGGGAAGCCACCACACATCTCCAATGGCCATGGGAGGTCATGGATTAGGCAGAGTTTAGGGTGGATTAGGGTGTAGTTTGATGGCGGCGGCTAGGGTTCGTGTTAAGTTTCAGACAGAGTTGAGAGAGAAGAGGGATTCAGAGGCGGCGGTTGGTGAGAAATGAGGTAGGGTAAGGGTTCGTTTGGGGTTAAAAAGGAAAGGGCGTATACGAGCCGTTGATCTAAATGATCAACGGCTAGGATTAAAGGGGTTAGGTCGGGAGTCCGCATTGGGTTGTTTAAATGGGTAAGGGGTCGGGTTTGAACGAAATTGGGCCGCGGGGAAATTGGGTCTAATTTAGGGTTCAATTTAGGCTACAATTGAAATGGAATTGGGCTATCATTTAAATAGCCATTTTTCCCCTTTTAAAATTATAAAAAATAGTAAATTAATTTCTGAAACCAAATTAAAAGCACTAAAATGACTTATAGCATATAATTATTAATTTAAAAATACTAGACTTAATTTTCATGGATATAAACGTAATTAAATCCTAAAAGAGGCCAATATTGCAATTATATGCAATTTAGCTTTAAAAATACTAAATAAATTTGCAAAAATTATCTTAGCTATATTTCAGCATAAATGTGAAAGTCCAATAAATGAATTACCAAATAATAATAATTTTGGAAATCATTATTTGGGGTTTTTTTTTATGGATAAAAAATGGGGAAATGAATTGATTTAAAAGCCCTTACAAATTAAGAAAAAATAATAAAACATTTGGACATACTTATATATGCATACATATGCTATTTTGAAGGTATTTTGCATATTAAAAATATATAGGGAAAATTGGGTATCAACAGTACTCATACCCTTTCCTGCCCATGTTTTTCGTGTGCAGATCCAGGTTCTTCGACTCGGCCCTACTATCCTTGAGGCGAGGCGATTCTTCAGAGACTTTGAGGTATATCTGTCGCGTCCGCAGACCGAGGAGTCCCTCTCTATTCTCTTTTGTAGTTAAGCCTTCTGTATTTCTTTTGATTTAGACATTCCGGAGTTAGAACACTATGTAGTATCCATGGCTTGTGATTCGTGAGTTTCCGGGTTTTGGGAGTTGTTCAATTTTTGATATCTTGTATTGTTTTATGCCGAGCAGCATCTTAAATGCTTCTATATTGCTTATCTTCAGTTTTTATTAGTTTTTTTCCGTATTTTGTTTCTCTTCCGCAACCTGTTAGGCTTACCTAGTCATAGAGACTAGGTGCCGTCACGACATGTCCACGGAGGGCGAACTTGGATCGTGACAGCCCTACCCTTCGCCTTAACGTCCTCTCCCTCGCAAACGTATAGAACAAAATTCACTAACTCAGAAAACACTCTTCGCGAACGCAAGGCTACTCTCAGAACGCGTAAGAGGAAACCAGAAAAATAATATAGCAGCAGATCTGCTATCTCAGAAAGGCCAAAAATGATCTGTTAACCACCCGAAACTCACCGGAGGCCCTCGAGACCTCAAACAAATATACCAACACGTCCCATAACATCATGCGAACTTAGTCGAATCCTCAAATCACCTCCAACAACATCAAAAACACGAATTAGACACGGATTCAAGCCTAATGAACTTTTAAATTTCCACATTCTACATACAACGTCAAAACCTATCAAATCAAGTCCGATTGACCTCAAATTTTGCACACAAGTCATAAATGACACCACGGACCTAGTCAACCTTCCGAAAATCCAATCCGACCCCTATATCAAAAAGTCTACTCCCGGTCAAACTTTCCAAAATTCCAACTTTTGGCAATTCAAGCCTAATTCTACTACGGACCTCCAAAACACAATCCGGACGCGCTCCTAAGTCCAAAATTACCTAACGAAGCTAGCTAAACCATCAAAATCCAAATCCGAGTTCGTTTACACATAATTCAACGTCCGATCAACTTTTCCAACAAGCTTTCAAATAAGAGACTAAGTATCTCATTTCACTCCGAAATCACTCCGGACCCGAACCAACTAACCCGGTAAGTCAAAATACAGCTGTAGAACACAAAAGAAATATAAAATGGGGGAGCGGGGCTACAACTCTCGAAACGACCGGCCGGGTCGTTACATAGTCCAATGTTGCAACATATCATGATTATTTTTAGTTACAAAATAATGTCGTGAAAATTATTTACATATGTCATGACTACTAACATTCATTTGGGCATATTAAAGCCCTTTATACAATAATGATGCATTCATTTGGATGTGTGTTCGCCCTACAAGGATTGTAGTGTCGGGAGCCGATCATGTTACCTCTGGTTTTTGGGGCATGACTTATAATTTGATGGGCTTAATGCGATGATACTTAATCGTTGTTTATTTCTCTGCATCATTTGCTTTACTAGCTGCTTCCCCTCCCCACATTTTTATCCTCTCTGCTGCAATAGAAGCCTGCAATTTTTATAGCACAGAACTCATTGTGTTATAAAACTTTAGATAGATAGTCAAGTCCAATATTTATCTTGGAACTAAGATCAAAAGAGTTGTATAATAAGGTCTAACTAATATACGCTTATAGCGTAAAAAATTTCTATACTACCATGACAATTGAAAGTCAATTAAGAAGAGCAACCTTTAACATCAGACATATATAAAACTAGTTTAACATCATTTACATTATGTGTATATAATTTAATTTCATCATGATATAGTACATGAGCTTAGAAAATAAATAGTGGATGGCAATGTATGGTATTTAACCCATTAGATAATACTATTTTGTATGACACCTAAAAATAATTTTATGAATACCATGTTCTAAATTTATCATTGAAAATAAACTTATTATAATATAATAATGGGAGATTGTTGGGGTGGTGCATGAGTGGATGATGATTGATGACTATAAATAGCAAATTAAAGTTTGTATATATGACGTAATTGAGATGTAAATGAAAATCAACAATGAACATAGGTTTGTTTTCTCCGGGATATGAAAAATATATTTAATTTTTAGACAACAAAATGTTAAAAAAGATTTCGTAACGAGAAGCATTTTGTGGATCAAACTAAGATAATCTTTTTCTAGATTTTAGTAAACAAAGAACTAAGACAATCAAATTATGAGGAATGATAGGTTTAACTTGTGCATATTTGGTATGTAATTTTTTTAAACTTTACCAGTGCATTTTAACATTTTCTAGCAGGTTACCCATGTATATTCATGTTGATAATCCCAGTTACTATGGACGGTTATATGTAATTGTCTCTTAGGTGATTTCAGTGCAAAAGTTAATTAAACACCAAATGGGTTAGTATTTTTTCAAATTACCTCTTTGTTCCAATTGGTTTTGTAAACTATCCAAAATAACGTGAATGTTTGAATCACGGTTCCGGTAATCATTCCATACCAGATACCCTGACATCATGAACAAAAATGAAGATAATATGTTAAATAAAAGGACCACTCAAAATAAAGAAAAAATAATTTAAGTAGGTTTACAAAATGACATGTTACACTTACTTGGACACCCATATTGAGCTTATACCCTAATAATAAACCCAATGGAATACCAAACAAATAGTAACAAGCAATATTGACATAAGCAACCAAAGCTTGCCATCCTGCTCCGATTGCCACACCAGATAGAGCTGGTTGAATATTGTTAACCACCATGCAAAATGCTAGTAATGGTGTTAGCTCAAAAACAAGACGCTTAACTGATTCGGTCTCTGTGAATAAGGAGGGGTATTGCTCTCTAAAAACAAGTAAAACGATCGAGAGGAGAAGGCCAACCAAGAAGGAAGATATTACAACCACCACCACTGAAAATCTGGCAGTTCTTGGATGAGCTGCCCCAAGTTCATTTGAGACTCTCACACTGAAAACTTTTGCATATTTTTTCTCATGTAAGATGTATAACTACTCTTTTTTTATTATTAATATTGTATTGGGTGATACCCTTTTTGCTTGAGCCCGACCGGGTTGGGTCCGGTCCGGGGCAAGTCGGGGCCATCGAACCCGACCTGGATGCAAGGTAGAACGACGGCCACGTCAACAACCGAGGTCGAGTCATTTCGAGACCGTTACAGCTGCATTGCATCCAATAGCTGCCATCACTGCCCATCCCAGTATGTTCATGCTGCAATTCCATAACTTTTAATTCTATAGAAAAATATAAAAACTGGAAGCTAATTACATCATTGTCCAATTTGCAGAGTAAAGTGGAACCCCCTAACCAATAAATAAGAGCGGCTTAACAAAATAGTCGACATAAAGTTAAATATTAACAAGAAAGTAAACTCATTTATTAAAATCAAGTAAATTTAGTCACATATATTTTTGTTTACCCTGGAATCCGGATAACAATTGAATTTATATGGGGTTTTAAGGATCCGTGAACTAAAAGATACAAAAGGTTTGGATTGAGGAAAATAAAAGATAAAGACTCAACAATTGCTGCTAAAGTAAATAATCGCAGAATATAATATTGCTTAGAACAATTGTGCTTGATAGCGTATAAGAATTGAGAGAGATGGTACCGTAGTGTAATGGTTTCCGCTCCTCTCTTTATGGGGTCTTCTCCCCTTTTATACATTCTGATTAAGGGTAAAAATAAGGTAGGTAAATTAATTACATCGTGGATCCCTGTAATTACGCCTTAATGGCCTGAAGTGGTTGAGAAAATCACGTTTGGGCGAGATATCCGGCGACGCTTGGTTATCCGTTACGAGTCCGGCTTCCGACCTTGTGTGTTTCTCCATCCGGTGGTAACTCATATCGAGCTCTGCAACGGTCTCGAAATGACTCGACCTCGGTTGTTGACGTGGCCGTCGTTCTACCTTGCATCCAGGTCGGGTTCGGGAAGGAACATATATAAGAACATCAAGAAAACAATACGGAAAAATACAAGTGAGGTAAATGAGAGACTCTGTTTTAAAAGGCAGAATTGGGACTCGCCCGGGGCTCGCCCCGGGGCGGGGCACTCGTAAAACGCCCTTGGACTTATGTGTGGGGCTTAGTTCCGTGAGACTTACGCCTCGGCCACTGGGGCTTACGCCCCGGAAACGCCTAACGCCCAGCGTCCTGGGCTCGCCTAATAGAACATTATGCAATTCTATGTAACTAACCTTGTAAATTCTCAATTTTGCTTAATGAATCGTTGACTATTCAAAATTACTTTTTTCTTAATCATAAATCATTAAGTTGAGAGTATTTTATGTCATAATTAAAATAAAAATTATTGCACGTTATGCACTAAGACTGCTATGACAGTTAATTTTAAATAAATCTTTCATTTNTCTGGTGCATAATCCCTGATCCGCTTCTCCCTTGTGATCGATATCTTGGTACGTTTCAGTATTGGTACTTGAGGTGCGTCTTCCCCTCCAATTATCATGTTTATGGTGTGCCGGGGTTCCTTCCTATCGGCTGGTCGATCTCGATTTTCGTAATGATTTTTGGCCCGATCACTGAGAAATTCTCGAAGGTAACCTTCATCGAGCAACCGGGCAACTTCCTCCCGCAGTTGCCTGCAATCTTCGGTTCTGTGGCCATGTGTGTTGTGGTACTTACATATTAACTTGGGATCCCTCCTCGATGGATCGGACTGTACGGGTTTGGGCCATCGGGCTTCTTTGATACGTCCGATCGCCGACACCAGGGTAGCCGAATCGACACTGAAATTATATTCAGCTAATCGGGGTGCTTCCTGTCTATCGACGGCTTTCCCGAGGTTGGCCTTCGGTAACGGTCTTCTGTTCCTCTCATAGCTGTGGTCGTTCCTCGTAAATTTAGGCCTCCTATCATCCTGATACGGCCGATATCTTTCCTTGTTCGGTCTTGAATCTTTGTAGTTTTCCCTACGAGGTCGATCGAAATTCCTATGTGTGGATGGTGAATCCGAACTTGCTCCGCTGTGGTCGTCCTCTACCCTTATCTTCGATTGGTACCGGTTATGGATGTCTGCCCACGTAACTGCTGGAAACTCGATCAGACTTTGCTTTAATTGCCTGGATGCGGCTGAGCTGTTGGCGTTCAATCCTTGAGTGAAGGCTTGTACTGCCCAGTCATCCGTGACTGGGGGAAGATCCATCCTCTCCATTTGAAATCGAGACACAAATTCCCGGAGTGTCTCGTTTATGCGCTGTCGGACCTTGAATAGGTCGGATTTCCTTGTTTCTACCCTGATCGCCCCGGCGTGAGCTTTCACGAAGGCATCGGCTAACATGGCGAACGAATCGATGGAATTTGGCGGTAAGTTATGATACCACGTCATTGCCCCCTTGGACAAGGTTTCTCCAAACTTTTTCAACAAAACTGACTCGATTTCATCATCTTCGAGATCGTTTCCCTTAATCGTGCATGTGTATGCTGTCACATGCTCGTTTGGGTCCGAGGTCCCATTATACTTCGGGATATCGGGCATTCTAAATTTCTTAGGGATAGGTTTTGGGGCGGCACTGGATGGGAACGGTTTTTGTACAAACTTTTTAGCGTCAAGGCCTTTCAGGACCGGAGGTGCACCTGGTATTTGGTCGACCCTGGAGTTGTATGTTTCTACTTTTTTATTGTTGGCCTCGATCTTTTCCTCCCCCTTTTCGATTCGTTCGGTCAATTCTTCTAGCCTCCTAAGAACCGCAGAATCAGCATCCGGCCCACCCCGTTCCGGCTGTACCGGGGTCGGATTGATGATTGCAGCTGCACGAGGAGCCTCCTCGGACCTGACAGGCTCCTGGACCCGGCTCTGGAGCTGAGCTATAGCCGATTGCTGGGCTTGCAGCATGTCAAAAATCATTTTAAGGTTGATAGTCTCTTCGCCGACTGCCTGGGCCCTCGAATCGTCCTCTCCCCGGACGCTATGTGATGATCCGGAGGCCTGATCAGTGTTGAGCGCCATCCGGGAATCGGCATCTATCGGGTTTTCGAGCCCGGCCATTCCATTGTTTCCTGTCTGCTGTTCAAGTTCGTTGTTGATTGATTATGCCATTCTATGAGTTGGTAATTTGAATGTAAGATGGACTCTTTTGCAAAGAACCAGTGTACTGTGATGCGTCAAGAAAGAGTATCAAAGAGCTCACTAATATCCTTAGCCCCACGGTGGGCGCCAAACTGTTTACCCTGGAATCCGGATAACAATTGAATTTATATGGGGTTTTTTTAGGATCCGTGAACTAAAAGATACAAAAGGTTTGGATTGAGGAAAATAAAAGATAAAGACTCAACAATTGCTGCTAAAGTAAATAATCGCAGAATATAATATTGCTTAGAACAATTGTGCTTGATAGCGTACAAGAATTGAGAGAGATGGTACCGTAGTGTAATGGTTTCCTCTCCTCTCTTTATGGGGTCTTCTCCCCTTTTATACATTCTGATTAAGGGTAAAAATAAGGTAGGTAAATTAATTACATCGTGGATCCCTGTAGTTACGCCTTAATGGCCTGAAGTGGTTGAGAAAATCACGTTTGGGCGAGATATCCGGCGACGCTTGGTTATCCGTTACGAGTCCGGCTTCCGACCTTGTGTGTTTCTCCATCCGGTGGTAACTCATATCGAGCTCTGCAACGGTCTCGAAATGACTCGACCTCGGTTGTTGACGTGGCCGTCGTTCTACCTTGCATCCAGGTCGGGTTCGATGGCCCCGACTTGCCCCGGACCGGACCCAACCCGGTCGGGCTCAAGTAAAAAGGGTATCACCCAATACAATTTTATCATTTGAAGTCTATTGAAATTATGTGTGATTGATGAACCGTGACAAGACGTGAGTTTGAGACATCCATCGGTGGCTTAAGTTGTTGAAGGATTACAGCGGAACTAACTTATATCATCCAAGAAAGGCGAATATCGTGACAACTGCATTAACTTGGAAGTGTATTGAAGATGATGTGCGACGATAGTTGTTGAGGTAAACACTTGGTCTAGCCGGCATGATAGAATAGATGAACAATGTCTAGCAATGTAAGTGCATGTTTTTGTTGTATAGTCATCCTTAGGTGAGCAGACTAAAGTATATTTACTTGGACTTAGACGGCGGGTTTAGAGCTAGTTTAGAGTGAGGAGTGGTGATATTAACAATGCATCACATAGCTTTTTCTTAAATCATGAAGATAAGAGATAAGAGAAATTGGGAGAAAGGGAGAAGAAAGAGAGAACAAGTTTGGGCTTAAAGGATTCAAGGTATTAATCTCTTTTTCTCTTAATTTAATTGCTATTATTATATACAATTATTGTTGGGATTGAGATATAATTATTGATTGATTTTGTGTTTAAATTGTGTTATTGGCATTTGGATGAGTTGCTATCTTAATGTGATTGATTGGGTTCAATGATTCAACATCATATACATTAATTTATGTATGTTTTGCCTTGATTTTGTGGATTTACACTTACAAAATTATTGGAGGTAATCTGATAGGTGTGTTAAATAAAAATTAATGTAGTTTGAAAGCATTTGACTAAGTTAGAACAAGGAATTAAGCCGAGGAGTTGAATTGCGTAGCTCAAAGTTGAAGTGAGAACATTAAAACATGATAGCTTGTTTTCCTTGCAACAACATGCTATACTTGGTGGTAAGAAAGTTAGATTTGAGGTGGTTGGGAGTGTCAAAATATCAAAAGGAAGTAAATATATAAAGTTTGAAAAATGGGTTGAAATTGGCAAAAACAACGTGTTTAGGCACTATCCCTATTACCCCTGTGCTATCTCAAAGTGGATATTATCCCTTGATGTGGCACAGAGAGTGAAATACACTCTCTTGAATAGAGTGAGAAGCGAACAAATTTTTAATTTTTATTTTATTTTTATAGCATTAATTTTACTAGAATATTATATATATTCCTATTGTTTTCCTTATTCATTATATTCTTTCTTTCTCTCCTTGGACTAGTGGCATGGACTCACCCACCGAGAAATTGTTATACATGGATGCATTATGCATATTTGACGATCGCGACCTCCCGAATTTTAACATCTTCTCAACAAAATAAAACCCATCCCCCATATCCAAAGAAGATATACGGAGAAAAAAAAAGAAGTAAAATATGCATATTCACATATATACCATACTTATTAGAACTAATATCAGGCTCAGTTGCATATGCATGTTACAGAAATAAAATCTAATTTCAAATATAAGTAGCTAAATTTAAAGAGAAGAAATGTTTCAAATAATTTTTGGAAAAAATAAAGAAAAAATTAGTGTACCAAAAAGTAAGAGAGTGAAGCATAGTGAAAGGGAGAGAAAGAGTACGAAAGTGAAACATAGTGAAAAGGACTAGTAATCATTTTAGGGACTATAGCCTTACAAATCCTACATTACAAAATATAGAAGTGTCAATAGTGAATATATTCTTGGATCCAAAGTATACAAATAATATCATCTCAATTCTCATGGAAAACATGCCTAAAGTTAGCTTTCGCTCAGCTAATCTAGGTGGGATCTTTCTCTTCCGTATTTTCATTATTGTGTTCTAGATAGGAGGCCATTTCCAAGCAATAATGAAAGAGCTTTTTTCTTTTAGTTGATTTCGTTGACTGAGTTTGTCCAATTATTACTTCAAATAATAGTATAATACTCCGTCCCTTCCAATTTATGTGAACCTGTTTGACTGGACACGGAGATTAAGAAAAATTGAAAACTTTTGGAATGTATGGTCCTAAACAAGTCAAAAATGGGTCCAGTGTATTTGTGTGGTTATAAAAATATTTTATTAAGGGTAGAATTAGAAGTTTAAGCTAAATTATTTCCAAATTTAAAAAGGGGTCATTCTTTTTGGAAATCATCAAAAAAAGAAATAGGTTCATATAAAGGATATTTACAAGTTACAATTAGGCATTGGCGGAATCTACTTCTTCTCTCTGCATTGTTAAAGTTTATTTTTATCTCTAAGCAATAGCAGTATAAAGCAAGCCTCTTCTGGAAAATGACATTAATTTTTAATTCTTTGTTAAATCAGTATATCTTTGCAGATTATTAATTAAATTACTCCCCGCTAGTAGTGTATTAATATTACTAGATTTTATCTCTAATTACCTTGCACCAAAGGACTAGTGAGGGACTGTCAAATGTTATCCTCAAACAATTCTTAGGCAAACCACCCCAAATACACCTTTGTCGTCTACAATAGCCACTAGTGTAGAATAGTATGAAATAGTTTTAAAGCATCAAAATTTATTATTATGGCCAGACAACAAACATCAAATGAGTAATCCGGCACTCACCAAATGGACAAGGCATCAACAGCGATTTCTGCGTTCTTTAAGTAACCAGCAAAGAGGACCAATGCCATAAAGTACCAAGTTTCCAGGCTGCATAGTAATTATATACCAAATAAATCAGTTCAAGAAAACCATAATTATTATCAGAAACATAAATAGATCACCAATCTACAAAGGTACAAGTATATTTCTTTGAAAATTAGGCTCTATCTTGTTTAAAAATTACCTATTATTGTAAGTCAACTTTAACCTGGTGATGTAAAAGATTTGTAAACAATTAATACGTGGGACTTGAACTCTTTATTTGTCAATGCAATTTTGAGAAATTGATTCTTCAAATATAATAAAACCAAATACTATGCACCACTAAGAGTTAAGAGGCCAAAACAAAATGAAAGAAGATGAAATTTTTGTGGATAACTTACCATAGCATCACAGCTGATGCAAGAGATAACTTAACAAAACCCCATAAATTATGGAAAGCCTTCCATGAGAAACCTGACCACGCTTGTCCACAAGTCCCACTAAATATGTACAGCAGCTGCGCCACCACTATGAACCACCATGATGAGTTCAGTACCACGGCGGCGCCAACAAGTCCCCACCCAAGTTTTAGCATAAATAACCAGCTAAAAAAAGTATGCAGAACCAAAGCTATTGCTGCAATCCATGCCATGACCATAATCTTGCTCTGTGCCTGCAATGCAGATTTTTGACATTGAGAGTGTATTTATATGTGTGTGTGAGAAAATTACTAAAATTCTAGCAAATATTAAATTTTGAACTCGTAATTTCAAAAGTATAATACGTTCAATAACAAGAACTTAAAAATTAAACCATCAAATTGAATCCTGAATCCACCAATACCTGCAAGAACTTGGCGATTGGAAAATTCATGGCATATGCATAAAGTTGAGGAATCATATATAAAGCCATTTTCCCTGCTTCCCGTGATATGTCCTCTGTTTGTCCGATTAATCTCAGAAATGGCGCCGCAAAAATGTACAATAACATTAGAAGTACTGCTGTTGTATTGAGAATAACCCATGACCTTTGCATGTATACTCCTAGCATGTCAATTTGTCCTGCTCCAAATGCTTGTCCACATAGTGTTTCTAACGCACTTCCCATTCCCAACTGTCCAAAATAACAAAAAAAAGGACCAATAAAATTTCAAACAAAAATCAAAATATTCATATTAAAATCAGTAACATGGTTGCTCCGACATATTTGTTGCCAATATGGATTTCTGCTGGAAGATAATATTGAAATTATACACTAAGTACACACAGGATTCTGTTATGGCAGAAGCGCACACGCAGTTCAGGTCTACAAAAATTCTCAAAGGTCCAAAAAAAGGTGAAGTTTATAATCACTCTCTGCCTCCCGAAACATTCTTTTCCACCACTTGTACGTGAAGATGAATGAGTCTGTCCAACAACTAACAGAATCCAATATGAATTGCAAAACAGGAGATCTACTAGTCATTGTTGCCCGGTTTTAACACTAACAAAAATATGCCTCAATCTTAAGCAAGTTGGGATCGGCTATATGATTTTTAAATGACCATGCTGCTCCATGTATATTCATCTTAGACATATTTGGTATTATAAAGATTGATCATAAATGAAGTACTAATTTAAGATAAAATAAAATTTAAAGATTAAAGAGTTTCAAAAATAGAAGTGTCTTCATTTTTAAATTACTAAAGAGGAAATAGTGCCACTTAAAATGTGTCACTTCATTACCATGATACCAAAAGAGAAACCGGCGATGACAGAGTTTTCAACAGAAACAGCAGCAAGCTCAAGAGTTCCAAGATGTCCAGCAAATGTTTGAGTGACAGCACCAAGAGAGTAGCGACAAAGGGAGGCGAAAATAGCTGGACCAGCAAGGTACCATAATTTCTTAGATTCAACAAAAAACTCTCTGAAGAAATCTTGGATTCCAGTGATAGGGGGAATATCAGCCGCATCAGCAACAAAAGAAGATGCAGAAGTTTGTGTGGTGATTTGGGGTTCACAAGGTGAAAGAAGAGGCTGCTTAGAGGAGTCTTCCATTGGAGGACAAAAGAGTATTCTTATTTCCTGATAAGATAATCACTACTAGTAGTGGAATATAAAATTTCCCTTACAGTAAATCATGTGTTTCATTTGTTTGTTCTTTCTCTCTCTTCTTTTCACTTTTTGTTTTGACTTTTTAAAAAAAATGAAAAATATTGCTTCCTCCTATGCTTTGTATTTTGGCATAAAATAGTTTTTGATTTAGAAATCCAATGTAGACGTTAAGCATATTTCTCAAAATATATTCTTTTTCTGGTAAATAACTAATTTTTTTTTAAAGAATTCCTGCGTACCCTTCTTCAGAATAAGTCTGCAAAGAGATAAAAAACAATTTAATCGAATAATTCATATGATTAATATTATTAAATTTTTTCCTAGTATTCCAAAACCTTAAAAAACAAATACAAAAAGGATGGGACCGAGTAATAAATTACTTTCGAGAGTAGGTGAAGAATAATACATTTGAAAGGGCAGAAAAGTTTGAACATACTCTCATTTGTTCTAAGACTAAATTATGTGTGTTCCTGTTACGCCCCGATACTAGGGTGGGATGTGATTGGCACCCGAGCTATCTAACCCATCAAACGAAACTTGTTTTAACTAGCTGAAAGTCCACATTTAACATTTAACATCATATTCAAGAAATTCATAATAAGATAATAATTGTATGAAAATTGAACTTTATTATAAACGTTGACATGTGTGACAACTACATCCACTAACAAAGTCATGAGCATCTAATTGCAAGTTTGAAAATATAAGTCTATGGGCCACTCAATGGGAATAACTAACAATGTTCGAAAAATATGAGAGTATGAGAAGGTTCACTATGGCTGGGAAAAAATCAATGGAGCATGTACTCTGAGTCTACGAAGCCCGCCACTAGTCATGGGTTATGTCACCTACGTACTCGGCGCCTGTCGTGCTATGTGTCAAGCTTAAACGGGCTAAGTATCACCAAAAATATCTAGTAAATCTTGTTTACAACCCTCAAAGGGAAGGAACAAGACTTTTTCGGGATAATAAATTATAATAAAAAAAATAATAAAGTAAGAAGTTTATTCAATTAGCACATAAGTTTGAAAACTGAAACAAGCCATAAATTTTGAGTTAAGCGCTAAAAGTCAACATGGCTAAGATCCTGTATACTGAAAACTCATATCTAACAAACTATGGTACATGTGACTATGGGATGGTCCAACTCCCGGCCTTGCAATTTTTACATTCATGGAGGTTGGTCATTTCCTCCAAACACATAAATTTGAAAACGTAAAGCTGGTATCAAGCTGTAAATATGGGGTAGCTCCCTATAACCATGACTCTCACACTTGGGGATGTTGCCTACTTCTCCCAAAACACATGTGATCACATATATCTAATCTGACATCAAGCTGAATAAATCAAAGCATGGCATAATAGTAATTAAATCAAATAAAGGATTCAATTAATTCTGAGCTAGCTGAGTTATTTTGCAGAAATGAGATAATTTTTATAAATATACCTGTAATCTAACAACGAAGTCATAGCGTTTAAACACTTGAAGGATTTTCCAACAAACGATTTGCATATCTACATTCAAAGTAGTCAGGCAATTTCTATCAAGCATGTTCTTTACATTTATTTTCTTAACATACCTGAAACAACTGCCAATAACCTCTATGAACGGACTCGTGTATTCACTCTCCTCAAAATGTACAATAAACGATTAAAATTATTAACCCAACAACAATCTCAACCTATCTTCCTAAATTTAGGGGTTTTTCTTAGACATAAATGGTTTCACTTTAATTTTATCCATGAACTGTTACTCCTCGTACTTCTGTGATGTCGTATGTTGTGTAAATGACTTTCTAAGCATGGTGTAAATGAGTTTAAATTCATCGTATGACTATGTATGATTTTTGGATATAGAATATAAAGTTTGGAAAAAATCTAATTTAAGTTGCGGAAAAAACGACTAATTAAGGATTTGTCTTATGATGAAGCTTTTTAAGAAATTAATTTCGTGTGTTATATGAGGTCTTTTGGGGATATATCACATACCAAATTGAAGGTCTTGGAATTTAATTTTCAATTATCTTGACTGTTCATTCATACGACATCTGGAAGAAGAGATATGAATATCGAAAGAAGGGCCGGTGAAGCACACATGTGGTTGACTTTTCAACCTTACTATAAATAGAAGACTTAGTCTTCTTTTTCCTCATTTTCCAACAAATTTACGCACAATCAGAGCTTCCATATCTCTCCAAGTAGTTCCTTAGGGTTTTGAAGCATGCCCGTCATCTGCAACTCAAAATCAAGAAGCGAATACATCAATGCGATCCTTACGACATAGGTAAAACTCTGTTGTCCTCCTTTCTCCTTATAACTCAACTTTTGGAAAGAGATTCATGTCTAACAAATATTTTCACCTTTGAATTTTAGCTTTACAAGCATGATAAAGAGTGTGTATCAAAGGGAAAAAGGTTAGGTAGCAAGAATTGATTCATTAACATCCTCCGGTGCGAGCACTGCTCGGAGCTCGTTCAAAGCTCTTGTGAACTCTGACGCACTGGATTTGGGAGTTCTGTTGTTCTCTCTTTATCGCTGCTAATTAAACCACTGCTAAGACTAAGTCTGTCTCCTTTATTTGCTCGTTTAATTTACAACTAGTTATTGCTCTTTTCCTTTGCAATTATATTCCTTTTGTTTATGCGTATGATCTAAGTCCTTGAACAAACATGGTTTAGTTTTTCTTGCAACCTGAACTCTAATGTTATGTTATATGTTCTACTGTTTGGTTTGCCTCAATGACTTTTTTTTCCCCTACAATTCTATGTCTTTTAGTGCTGCCTAAGTCCAAGACTTCTAAATGAGTAGCATGTTCTTTCTATGTGCAATCGATTGGAATAAGTTATGCCCTCTTATGTGTTGTATTAACTCTGAGTTTGTATACTTGTCATCTACCATGATCCTATACATTTCTTTAGACTTTTAGAGCCTTCTCGTAATGACTTATGTATGTCTAGAATTTCAATATGTTTAAGTCTTTCATGTTTGAACTAAGTAATTGCTTGTAAATTATTTTGGACCATGCCTACCAGTTTGCCTAGTTGGTTAACACTTAATTGAGATCATGTCTTCCTTAGATTTCCATATTGAAACATTCATGTAGAAGTTCTACTTGAATCAGTTCATGATCATTCCTCCTAAGACTCATGTGCTAAGGCTTCACTGCCAGAATTGTTCTTCCATAGTTTGCCTTAATTATGTGACTTCACTCGTACCAAAATTATCCAAATATCAAAATCCCAACCAAGTCTCAAAACATAGTTGAAGAACTTCCATCCTTCTTTCCCAAATTTCTCACCCAATTCCTTAATTTAATGATGAAATCAACAATAGATTAATGAAATACAACAAAAAACGAGTTAGGAATCATTACCCCAAAGTTCTCTCTGAAAAATTCTTGAATTATCACCTTAATCCGAGCTCTCAAAGTCCCAAAATTGAAATGGGAATAAACCCTCGATTTTGCCCTTTTTCTGCCAGTGATCTCGCTTCTGCGAGGAGTCCACTTCATCTGCGGTCCCGCACCTGCGGAACGACCATCGCATGTGCAGATATCACTTAAGTCCACAAAAGTCACTTTTGCGAACCAAGGCACGCACCTGCGGGCCCGCTTCTGCGGATATCCTTCCGCATCTGTGACCCTGCCCAGGCCGCCCATTTTCGCTCCTGCGATCCTTCCTTCGCATCTGCGGCTGTGCAGGTGCGGATCCCTTCTTGCACCTGTGCCCATAGACCAACTTGACCAAAATCGCGTCTACTCTCTATCTCTCGCACGTGCGAGTCGGCACCTGCGGTCTACCCTCCGCAGGTGCGAAAACACTAGAAACCAGCAAAACTCATCAGTTGCCTAAGTCCAAATTTCAATCCGTTACGCATCCAAAACACACCCGAGGCCACCGAGACCTCAACCAAACATACCAACAAGTCCTAAAATACCATACAAACTTAGTCGAGCCCTCAACTCACATCAAACAATACTAAAATCACAAATCACCCTCCAATTCAAACTTAAAGAACTTAAGACTTCAAATTTCTACAACTGATGCCAAAACCTATCAAACCATGTCCGAATGACCTAAAATTTTGCACACAAGTCATATTCAACATTGCGTACCTACTCCAACTTCCGAAATCAGAATCCGACCCCAATATAAAAAATTCCACTACCGGTCCAAATCTCCAAAAATTCGACTTTCGCCATTTCAAGCATAAATAAGGTGCGGACCTCCATAACACAATTTGGACACGTCCCTAAGTCCAAAATCACCCAATGGAGCTAACAGAATCGACAGAACTCCATTCTGGAATAGTCTTCACACAGTTCCGAGTATGGTTCAATTCTAAGACTTAAGCCTCCGTTTAGGGACTAAGTGTCTCAAAACACTCCAAAAACCAAAACGAAACCTCCCGTCAAGTCACAATAGCAAAAATAGATACGAGTGAAGTAGTAAATAAGGGTTCGGGCTATAACTCTCAAAACGACTGGCCGGCTCGTTACATCCTCCCCCTCTTAAAACAATCGTTCATCCTCGAACAAGCATAGAGACATACCTGGAGTGGTGAAAAGATGAGAATAACGGCTGCGCATATCCTGCTCGGTCTCCCAAGTCGCCTCCTCGACGACTGACCCCTCCACTGAACCTTCACTGAAGCAATATTCTTTGACCTCAACTTTCGAACCTGCCTGTCCAAAATAGCCACTGGCTCCTCAACATAAGATAGATCCTTGTCCAACTGGATTGAGCTGAGATCCAACACGTGAGACAAATCACCATGATACTTTCGGAGCATAAAAACATAGAATACCGGATGAATTCCTTCTAGACTGGGAGGTAAGTGTCACGCCCCAAACCTTGGGAGGCGCGACCGGCGCTCAATAGAGTGAACCGACCGAGCAAGCTTTCTTGGACACTCTCTACCCAACTCACTATGATCAAGAAACCATGCTTTCATTTAATTAGATGATAGGAAGGATCGTACCTATAACATTGCTAGTTCATTT